TGTATGCATGCATGCATATATATATATATACACACGTATGGTGTATCTGCTTATATGATATGTTACATAATGACATACATATATTATACAAATACTATGTATATATATATATATATATATGTATACATCAAGTCTTAAATACCTGGATTCCTGGATCTTCAATTGCTAATTTTTTGTCTTTTTTGCGATTTGCTCGTGTCCAAAAATTCCATAACGATTGGAAATTGACGTGCTCGATATTTTGAAAAAAATGCTCCTTAAGCTCTATTGGCCAGATTTCTTTTCTGAATTTGCGCCCGATTGCGCTTATGTGCGCTCGATTGCGCTTATTTGCGCCCGAAATTGCGGCCATGCTTTTTGCTCCAAATCGCTCTCAGATATTGAAAATGCTCGCTATTTATGATTTTGATAACGATCCTGGATATATGCTCGATTGCCCCAAAAGTACAGGGTAGCAAAAAATAATGTAACGATCGAAGTCGAAGACCCAGGAATATTGTATATACATATATTATCTGAATTCCACAAAATCTTAATTATTCATCTACAAAATCTACAATCAACAAATTTCAGGATGGATACTGTAATCAATAAAGCCTCCCAAAGCTTGCTCCGCGCTCCGTCATCGTTTTGATGTTCTGCTCAATCTGTGCAAAGCGCGTGGCACCTTCGCGATGCACCTGCGAGGGTGGGGTGCAGTTCCGTTGTGAACTGTTAGATATTTCAATATATTTCACCATAGTTATAATCATAGACTAGAGATATAGGATATCATATATTTAACATCCTACAACATCATTTGTTCACTGTGATAACTATGGAGATTTTTTGATGTTTTTTCGGGTGCATGGTGCCCCACCTTGTGGGGGGGGGGCTATTTTTTTTTCTTTCCAAGGATCACAAGATCAAGGTGGGCAACCATTGTTGGTGGGCAACCATATCAAGGATGATGAAAAACACATTGTTATACCATAGCTACAGTGGATTTACTTCACTGAGTGGTTAATTTAGTTCTATTGTTACAAACATAGTGATACCATAGGGCAATATACCATATAGATCATAAACATTGTTATACCCATTCTTATGCCTATACGATTGTTATACCATTTGTTGTACCCATTGTTATATCATTACCATGATCCATTGTTATACCCACAGTTATTCCCAGATATAACTTTAACCAATCAATCCTGGCTGCGCGGAACTACGCTGGCCCTCTTTTTTACCGCCGTCTCCGGCGGCGTTTACGAGGATGACAGACCTGACGGTGGTCGAATGGAGGAGCCTTGAAGCAGGACCATGGGATTAGGGCACTAGATGATTGACCATGGGGATATCATAATATAATGGGCCCCATGGGCTGGATAAAAAAAATCACATGGTTGGATATATCTATAGTTACTTTTGTTTAAAAACTTTAGAACTATATATATATATATAGTTTATGGAAAACAATGTGGAGGGTTGTTAAATTGGGGCATCCATGGGCATCACCATGGGTTTCACGAGTTTCAATACTAAGTCATGGTCATGATGGTCATGCATGACTTGGATGATCTTGGGGGTACCCCCCCATTTTAGGAAAACCTCATTTATGGGAATGTCTAAAAATTCTGTCGACTATACACGTACTAGTACCTTGACTGAAAAAAAACAGTCCGAATCAAATTGCAGCACGAAGCCCAACGTTTAAGAGCAACAATTAATGGTCTAGGCAATGATTTTTAGCACCTGCAAATGGTCATGCTAAACGGCCACAGGAACCATCAATTTGGCGGCGCTGTTTCCTCCCAATTTGGCGCGGCGCTCATCCCGACACAACCGGCGTCGTGACCATACGTGACCATACGTGGGGACCATGGGATCAGGGGATGGAACACTAAACGTGGCAACCAATGTGGAACCTAGATTTTTTGACGTCGCAGTATGGAGCAGTATCAACATCTTAACATCTTTGTCAATGAAAATTATGGTAATACATTCAACGTTCTGCCCAGAGGCCTTAAATCTTTTGACCTGATCCGACCTATACGATTTTCATTTCTGTAGCGCATGACGGTGTGGGTTTCGCCCTACAATGGAGCCCAAAATGTAAAGTGTGTACGGAAGCTTCTTAAAACACTAGTGTGGTAAGGCCAACAATATCATCAATATCAACATATATCAACTATCATTGATTGGGGTTTATCAATTTGAATTTATTTGTGATATCAATTTATTAATTAATTACTGAGAATCAGATAATTATCACGTATTATTACCAGTACGAGAACCCAAATTGGGATGTCTCAACTGGAGTTCCAGCTCTCTGTTGAAAAACTTGCCAACGTATTTAGCCCATACAAATCACCATAGGCACTAGATAGAATAGATACAAGGTGGTGCCCCCCCAGGTATGTTTGTTGGTTTATTGGTTTGTAACCATAGTATGTCAATACATCATGATATATCTACTATAAACATCTATAAACATCCATAAACCATAGTGAAATTGGAGTTATTTGTACGCACGCACCAACTGAACGCGATTCTGAACGCAGTGAGCCACCAGCCTGGATGGTATATGCAGCTTTTTATCCCGTATGAATATGGTAGAGACAATACATCTAATGTTGTTAAAACAATGCCATAAACCCATGTTTACCATCCCCCAGTCATCACCATGTTTATAGGTGGTATGGTTACCATCAAACATTGGGTGGTTTATTATTGTTTTACCATCATTATATGCAGGTACAATCATCTGAACTATATAGATAGAATATGGGATGTTTGAAAAATATTTCCGTTTGAATGATGATTTGTTTGAATTGTCCATATTCTATCTACTCTAGGGTGACTATGAATAGATACCAGCACCATGGTTTGCATATAGCTATTTTCTTCAAAACCCTAGCACCCGTACCCGGTACCCTAAGTCATAGCTGGTTAGAAGAGGACGTTTCTTCAGCCCAAAAATGGCAAGCTGTAGGTCTTGATCATTTGATCCATCCCCACGGGTATGTCTTTGCAGTATCTGAAAAGCCCATGGCTATGGCTACTTGAATAGGGGATATATGTGGTTAGAACAATGTCATTTTTTCAACCATTTTCCTGGGAAGGGTAACCATACCACCACCTATAAACTGGGGGATGGATGTTTATGTTGTTTTAATCACATTATATGGATACACCATCAACATTTTGGCTACACCATGGCTACATCGATGGCAAATTCAGACCTCTTCGTCAGGACTTTCTTCTGCCTCTTCGCCCGTCGCTTCCTGCCGAAAGGGCGACTTCCCGACTTCCGGTCACTCCAGGGGATCAATAACTGGGAGAATTCCCAAGTTGATATCAAAGTGCAATTAAAAGCTATGCTAGTTTTAAAATTTGAAGAGTTCTTTTTTTCGAAAAAATAGTTCTGCTAGTTTTAAAACTGGATATGCTAGTTGATTTAATTAGTTGTGCTAGCTAGTTCTTTAAATTTCATCAGTGCAGGATAAAGCGTGGCAAGGATCAAGTGGTGCGACCGGGCGGCTCGTCCCTTGAAACTTTGCTCATGGATTCTGAAAAACCAAACAATGAATATTGGCTAGTATAATCATGGTCAATCTTTGATGGTCACAGTCCGCAAAAAAATGCTGGCTTGCTGGTGATTTTCCATTTATAGCCAAAAACAACAGCATTAAACTACCCATCCAAGCTACCTTATACTCTACAATCATCAACCAACAGCGGTTTTGAACACTACCCAATTTTCAACTGCCTGGAACCCAAACAGCCTTCAGAAAAATAGTCATGATAAGTAATTGGGGTTGTTTCACTATGATATGGCCCAGAATCCTTATGTAACAAATGGCTGGAACTTGGGAAACCACAATTAATTTGTTTCTGGTTCTTTGGGGTTCCAGGGGGCTGTTAATATGAAATCCCAAGTCACCCAAATTTCCATACCACTATTTTTGGGATGATGTCTATGATTGTGGATATCTCAACTGAGCAAAAAGCAAATAGGCATCCAAATGGTTGACCATGGATACACAGAAAAATATATCACTGATGAGTAACTAGTGATGCACAACCGATACCATTGCTTGCAAATACATAATCACATTTAATAATTTCTTGGATGTTCTTAGTATAGCATTAACCATGGCTTTGACGACTGAGCGGAACAGGAGGTTTTTCTTCTTGCGGATTTTTGGGATCACCCTAAACCCCACTGTGGTTAAAACAATGTCATGTTTACCACCCATGACTGGGAATGGTAAACATACCACCTATAGCCTATATATATATATATAGCATGGTGATGACTGGGGGATGGTAAACAAGCCATTTTGTTTTAACCACATTAATTATGTAGTGATGTCGTCAACATATAACCAACAGTCAGTGAATTCTTTACCAACTTAGCGATTCGAAACTGGGGCACCTCTCCCTGAACTTCATCAGCATCCTCTGCCTGCTCAGCGTCCTGTCAGGGATCTTCCGACACTTCACCCACCGACGCAAGTGACAAAGAAAGGGACTGAACTGAAGTAATTGAATATACAGTTAAGGCCCTTTACCAGTTATGAGTACTTATAACCCCATTTATAGAATGTATAATCTCATTTATAACCAGTTATAACTAAGAAATGGCCATAACTGTAGGGGCAAAGCAAGGAGTTGTCCTTTGGTGATCAAACATAGAACCCTAAAAAACACCGATATTTTTTCCGAAGGCTTTCCAGGTAGCCAGGTTACATACATGATCAAAGGATAAGAAACAGACATGCTGATTGTTGTTTTAAGCGGGTTGTGGTTGTGATTCTCCAAACAGTTCCAGCTCATCATTTTTGCCAAGCTATCTGATAGTGAATGAACTATATATCATGATATATCTGTGATTTGTTCATAATGCACTTTTCTGGCAATTGATGACCACAGGGATATGCCCACTGATCGCTTGGATTCACTGCAAGTGGTGCCCAAGTTTCGAATCGCTAAGTTGGTTTAGTTCACTATATTGCCTGTTGGCTTTATGGTGATTCGAACTACGCAACAATTTAGTGGTGCCCTCCAGTTATGTTGGTTTATAAACCCGTTAAAATCCGTTAAATATAGTTCTACTCCACATAAACCCAACAGTTAGCCTGGTGAATTAGATCCATTCTTCGTATCTTGGCCAAGTGGGGCACCACCAACGGGAAGTCCCCATTCAGAATGGAACTGTGAATCCAGAATTATGATACCCTCTGGTAAGACTAACATAGCTATGGAAAATCACCATTTTTAATGGGAAGACTCACTATAAATGGCCATGTTCAATAGCTATATTAAATTACCAGAGGGTACGCTGAAATTTCCCAACTGGATTTCATCACGATTGATGGCCTGACATGTGTGAACCACAGCCGCAGCCGCCAGCCAATTCGTAACAGAAGGCTTTTGGGTTTCTGGTCCCATCATTCGGGATCCCTATAATTTCCACCAATATTGGCTGATCAGATCATTTCAACTTGGTTTAATATATGGCTATGAGTCAAACCTTGGAACCCTAGGTACCCTAAGATAGCTGGTTGATGGTTACCCTATTTCCCGAAATATGGTTGTTAAATAGGCGTCCTTGTAAATTCCATGGACAATACTTCTGGGGAGACTGAATGTACGAGCCATGCAGAATAGCCTTATCCCATCTCATTATGCAAGTTGGTTGATAAGTTTCCCTATTAGGGGCGGCGATAATAAACCGAGGTAGAACTCCCTATTTCATACCCAATCATAAATCAACCAAGGTATCTTGTTCGTCGCTCATTCATTGAAACTTAGCAGCTGTCGAGTTCTTACGGTCGTCACGCTCACGGGGAAAAACAGTTTGAACTGATCCAGGGGTTTCAGATGGTCACTGCAAGTGACTGTCGCCGGACAAAGGGGATTGTTATATTATATGGAGGTTTCTTAAGTCATCAAGGACCCCCAAGTCACCATGCGTTAACCTATACTAAGTCATGGTCATACGACTGAATGATTTGGGGTACCTGTATGACGAAACGGACACCTCCATTTGTTCTATATTCTAACCCTGGTACCCTGGTGGGCAAATATCAATGGATGACACAACAGCTACGAATTTTCCTGGTCTTTGGGTTGTTGCGGTATTTTTCGAATTTCATGAATAATCTGAGAGAACCAATACCATCTGGTTATTTAATATCATAGCCATGGAAAATCACCATGTCTAATAGGTAAACCTCTATAAATGGGCCATTGCCCATGGACGTACCAAGGTTTAGCTGGCATTGGTGCTCCCCCAGCTATGTTTGTTACCTTTTTTTAAACGCCGTTAGCGATAAAGGATGTTCAAAGCACCATAAATTAACTTAGCTAAGAAACCAGGTTACCATCTTGTAGAATTGTAAATTCCCGGTTGTTTGATGTGGTTCTTGGCGCGCGAGCCAGCAACAATCCCCGAGACAGGTGCCTGCATCTGCTCAAGTGTGGCCTGTAGAATTGCCAGTTGACCTGACACCAAGGGGCTGATATTGGCTAATGGATAGAAATGCCTGCGATATCCTCCGATATCAAAATATTAGATCATAGATGACTATAGTCACTACATTCAATTGGTATCATCAGACCCAAATAGATTTCACTTGAATTAACCAGAAGAGAAGTAGAACTGAAAAGAAAATACATCTAAAACCACCAACCAGCGGATACTCAGTAATTGCAACATGTGGCAGTGTGTCAAAACCAATAGTACCCCTTCTGTTCACATCAAAATAGCTGGGATTTATGGATGTGAATAACCCCCTAAACATGGTATTAATAGGTATTGATCCATACCCATATGTCCATGTTCTTGGTGCCCTTCGAATCAATCTGAGAGCTAGTGCCGCAACATCCACCCACTCGTCTAGAGGGCACAGCCGATGAACTGCCATCCGCCACGTTTTGGACTCCTCGAGAGGAAATCATGTAGTAACCACCAACCGATTCATTGATGATATGTAGTTGTATATTATGTGTTATTATTGTTTGTCGTTATTATTTGCTATTATTTGTTTTTGTTAATTGTTGTCATTGTTTCTTATTAATTGCTCTTATTAAATGTTGTTATTAATTGCTATTATTTGTTGTTATTAGTATCATTATTAGTATCATTATCATGTTCAAGAAAAACATATTGTTGTTATGAGTTGTTATCATGAAAATCATCCTATAATGAGTATGATAACAACTATAACATAACAACTTATTGATAATCAGTTGTTATTGTTGTTATCATGTTATGAGTTATGATACGAGCTATAGCAACTTGGCCAAAGGCGCATCCTCTTGGGGGGGATCATGCCATGGCATGACTGGCTGACGCATCGGATTCCAGGATGAAATTCGGAAGAAGTTCAGGTCCTCCGCAAAGGTCCTGGTTGAATCACATGAAATCCCACTGTTTGCTACACTTTATGGCCCTTTAGCAGTTAACTATACTTATAACCCCATTTATGGAATGTATCATCCCATTTTTTTTTAGCATTTATGGCTTATAAATAAACTGGCAAGGGTCCTTTCCTGTAACCCCCCAAAAAAACTTAGCACTTACCATCTGCCATCAAACATGGCTGGGAAATCCCTGTGGCCCAATCCCGCCCTGGGCCCAAAAATGGGCCTTCCAGAAAGGTTTCTAGGAACTGCTTCCTCCGCCTTTGAAGTGCACCTCCGATGCTCAAAATATTGGGAGTGCTGCTTGGTGGAGCCACTTCAAAAAAAAATATGATCTAACCTCTGGTTATGTCAAAAATTATCTATTGTAATTTGCCATTCATAGTCTGGTTGGGATCATAATTCCCAGTATATGGAAAGTCATAAAAGTCCATGGTTCCAAACCACCAACCAGTGATTTACCAATCAAAGATGGTGATTTTCCATTTCCGGAGGGTCCTCTGGGATCCTCATCCCGTAAAATATCCATCGCTTGTCCGTTAAGCATCCATGAAAATCTATTGAAGATCCATGGCATTACCAAATCATCATTGAATATGTTCATGATCTCCCCATCTGATGATCGTTTTTGATCAGTTGTAATCAATATCTGGAAGATCATATCTCAACTGATTTTACACCTGATTCAACGATTAATATATGTATTCATTATCATTAAGAGGAAGATCGTTAATAGTAAAATCCTCATTTTCTCAACTCTTCCCCATGATTTCCGTCCCAATATGTTGGAAACCCTTTGGGAGCGTCAGGTAGCCTTTGCACACCGTGAAGTTCAAGGTTTGGGGCAAGATCTTGAGACTTTCCTTGACCTCAGCAGACTCTCCATCAGCGGTCAGCTCGAGTTGACACAAAGTTGGGTGGAGTACTTACTAAGTATAACCATAGAATGACCCATTGGCAAGCAACAAATAATAAAATGTATCCCCAAGTGGAATCATATGGAATCATGGTATTCTTCTGGATACCTCAATTTCAGGAACCATTTCATTGCAGCTACCATGTATATCATGTATAAGACCTACGTAAGGGCTAAATTTCAGGGAATATCCCCACAGTAATATAGCCCTTTTTGGTACTAACGTACCTCCACTTTAGGAACCTGAAGTTCCCATTGATGAGATCAAACACTGTCAAAGTTGCCCACGGAGTACTGAGTATAACCACATTTTTTTCCCCTGGGATTGACCATTATTGTGGCACGTGGAGCCATACTATATCATTCTGGATCTACATAATGACGTTCAAAGATCCATAACACATTCATGTGGGAAGCATGAAAATAGTAGCGGATCACCATAACCATACAAGCTGCGTGTGAAATGTTGGTGTATAAGCCCCGAGGTATAGACAATTGACATACCGATGTTTACCAACCAAACAAATAAACACACATTCCCTATGGATTCCCCAGTCGTAGCGGCTTTTCCCGTTGGGAAAATGAACCAAATCATAGACAAACTCATTATTTCATGATCTCCCATTAATATTCCATAAGCCAAGATTTTGATTGGAGGTATATATATATATCATTATATATCTCAAGAAATCAGCATTTTTGGATGGTTAAACGTAACAAAAACCATGAAATCCAAACCTTGGTCCACCTCCATCTCCACGCCATCCAGCGGCAGATCTCCTCTGCTCCAGCGTGCTCTTCAGGATTGAGACAAACCTCGAACTTCCCAGGGATCTCCAGGGACAATTCCCACGGAACCCGGAAAACGTCGGAAAACCATCTGGTCATTGAACACTTTGCTATCCCATAGGATCCATGTATGGTATATATGCTAACATTGGGGGTATATTGATGGTAAATGTTACCATATATAGCATACATGGATCCTATGGGTATGGAAAAATAGGGGGAAATCGACACCATTTTTTGAGGAAAGCATCGACCTAAATCAAACACATCTTCACCCATTTTCGAGAGCCCTGATAGATTACCGGAGGGTAATTCATTCATGGTTTACACATGTTTAACAAGAAAAACCTGGTTGTTTCCTGCTAAAATGTTCCTTTTCGGACAGTGATGGCCACACGGCGACCTCGACAGTAAGATATGTCCATTGATGATGTTCTCTTTTGAAAAAAGGACGCCAAACATGATATAAAGGGAACATAGATATTGATCTATCATAGACTGCTTGCAAAGATTCCCAATTTCATCCAATTTCCATCTCCGACGTAAATTGTAGATATTGGGCATAGCGAGGTGAAATGAACTGCTACTTGAAACCACCATTGTGACGACCATATGGATCCATATGGACAATGTTTTGGGTATAAAAACCAGTCAATTCAGGGGGGGTTAAGGGTATTGAGATTACTGAGGCAAGCCATGCGCTGTCATACTGCCACCCAGCGGAGTTGCTTGTACTCCATTTGGGTCACGTGAAACATTCCTCCAAAACACTATGGCTGATTCATAAAGGAAACATTGAATAACAATGAATAACATTGAATTAACACTGAATAGCATTGCATAACAATGAAATACATTGAATAACATTGGATAACATTGAATACCACTCTAATCTAAACAATGGTTTTATGTCAGCTTACCGCATGCCACACTCCTTTTATCCGCGCGGCCACGCAGCAGTTGCGTATTTTGCTCTTCCTCAATCTGATCCACCACCTGAGCGGGGATGCCCACGCGAGACAAAGAGATCGTTCCTTGGTGGCCACTGGCGTCCCCTCCAGTGATCAAACCTGTGGAAAATCGATGAACATCATGATGTTTTAAAGGTAAAACCATCATTGATGTAAAATCTATATTCTTCATAGGTAGATCATCAATCATCATTTCTGTTTAATAGCTAAATCATGATTTTCATCATCTATAGATGGGCAATTTTTGGTAGCAAAGTGTTAAACAACCAGAAGCGATCTGGGGCCCCAGTGATCCCAGTGGGAGACCCAAGGTTATCCAATCCACAGGTCATGGCAACCATGGCAGTGACCATGATCAACCTCATGGGTAGCATACATTGAATACTCGACTTAGCGTCATGCCGCCATGCCAGGTTTTGCCAACAAATTTGGGCTGAAAATAGGTGTACCAACAAAATGGATGGTGTAAACCATGGAAAACCATGGAAGACCCAACCACAATGGATGATTCAGGGGGTAGCACTTGGTAGCACCACTTTTAGAACAGGACATCTCAGGCGAAACCCTGCGGTACTTGGTGCTTCACCCCTACCGGATCCGATCACTGGTTTAGTGGCTTAGTTTCCCCACTTGTACATAAGATAAGCCCAGGAAATGGGGACGTAAATAGGGTTAACAACCAGGTACTTTAACGTAGCTATGGGAAATCACCATGTTAAAAAATCATGGATTTTGATCATCGGACTCAATGGGCAGAGTTAAATCAATCTATACCAGTTCCCAAACTCTTAACCAGAAGGTACTACCCTCTGGTGAACAAACATAGCAATGGAAAGATCCACCATTTTTCATGGGAAAATCCACTATTTCTATGGCCATTTTCCATTGCTATGTTAGTTCACCAGAAGGTACTAAGTTGGATGATCCTTATCCTCTATTAACTCCTTCGAAAATCCTGGCACCCCAAAGGCCCCCCTTTCACATCGAAGGTGGGGAACCCAATTCCGGGCACCGTCAGCTAAAATTGTGCAGGAAATAACACAAATAGGATTGTTTTCTAAAATAGGCGTACCACAAATCATCCAAGTCATGGATGATCATTCTAGTATTGAAACCCGTGACTGGGTACCCCCATTTTAGGAGACCGCATATTGGCATTCTTTGCCAGTAAGAATTGATTATCATGTTGGTTCTATCCTTCGTATCACCATGTATATTTGATGTGAGATCCCAATTAGTTTGATATCGTCATTTGGATTCCATTGAGCTGGATCGTTTCAACCAAAGTTGGGACTTCAAGGATTGCCAAGTAGATATTTTTTTTTGTCCGGGCGATTTGGATTTATTTGGTCATTATTGTTGTTGGTCCCGCGTTCATCTTTGAATCAAAAATTGCTATCAACTAAATGATCCAAATGGGAATAGATAGGCCCTTTTTTTGAGCATGGGTAATTTTTGTTCAATCCCTTTTGACCCTGACATACTAGACATATCTGCGCAGATTGTCCATCTCAGTTTTCACAATTTTGATCCCCACGGCCCCATGGGCGCCATCCCCTCGAATATCCCGGATCTGAGTCCCAGCCACTTTCGGGCGTCAGCAACTTCAGCTGGATCTCATCCTTCAAATTCTCGTTCAACACCACACCATGTCTTAACCTCTGCTGGGATGGCCATTGGAAAGTCGGCTCATATCTTGGTCTGACACATTTTGGGGAGGGTGGAGCTTTATGGTGAATTCCAATGTCCATTAAAGTGAACAATTTCTTTACAAGAAGGTATAATGTGGACAATCTCATGTTCAGGATTTACCAAATTCAGCAATGGAATTCAATGTCCACGGGTACCCCAACCCTATCAACAAACATGTGGGGTCACTTTATCATCGGGATTCAACCCTGACAAAGGTGAGACCGCCCGGAATGATAAATGATTAGTGAATGTGAATGAGCCCTGATTTGTGGTGGTTTGTGGTCAATGAACTCATAATAAGATGTACTACGCCTTCAATGTGCCATGAAAAAATCTTCAATATTCAGGTGGTTCATTATTGGGGATGGTTTGCTTGAAAGTGCAGTTCCAGTTTGAAGTGGATATTTAATGATAGATAACATATATATATGTATATATATATACAATATGTATCTATATATATATATACTGTATATATATATATACATACTTATGCGGGTTGACTCCCAATTTACAACCATGGTTATACCAATTTGTAAACCTCAACTGCGGCCCTAAATATAATTGGACAAACTTCCAGATAGGAATCTGGTTGCGAGGTTGCCGGAGATGATACCCCGCATGGAACGTGGCTGGTGTTGGGCTGCCATTTGAGATTCAAAGGGTGTGTCAACTTCCTGCGACTTGAATGTTGTCAACCAGGAATCACACTCCCGAATCGGTTATCCAGGCAAGAGACCCCAAACAGCGTGGGCGAGTAAAAGGAGAATGTACTATGATGTTGATGATGATGGTAATGTTGATAATGATGACGATGATGATGATGATGATGATGATGATGATGATGTGCGAGCCTGCGCAGTTGAAATACACATGAACATTTCACAAGAGCCATTTTGACAAGAAATTTACAGGGAAAATGCCGGACCCGTATCCCGCGACACCCATTTTGTGCGAGCCTGCGCAGTCGAAATGCATAAGGACATGTCACAACAGCCATTTTGTGGGGAAAAAGCCGCCGGACGCTTCCGATACCACCTCGATTGAACACCAGGCCGTAATTGTTACCGTAAGAAACCCCTCAGTGTGGCCACACTGTTTCGGGAATGAGGGTCCTCCCAAAAAGTGATGTTTCCAATCAAAACGATTCAAGACGTGTACCATATTGATCAGGGGTTGCTTGTCAATCCGGAGTTGTTCAACAGTAATTACTTGCTAAGTGTGAATGTTATCAGTTATACAGCGTTATAACTATGTACATTGATCAATCTATCTACCCTCTGGTTATTTAACATAGCCATGGAAAATTGCCCATATATAGATGTTTTTCCAATTAAAACCTCCATTTATGAGGGATTTTCCATGGCTATGTTAAATAACCAGAGGGTAATTATTCATATTCTGCAATCACCTGCCCATTGCAGCAACGGGTGGCAGCAGCTGGGTGTTGTCAAGGCTGGCATCCAGAGAAAGCTGGGTTCCCGCCTGGACCATGGCCGATCCCAAGTACGAGTACGGGTCATCGGCCGATCATTGATCATTATCTATTTTAATGGTGACAACATGGTTGACAAATCTATGATTATTATTACTGTTTATGTTTGATGATATATAAATAATAATGATTTAAAACTATTATAAGTATGAATATTGATGATTGCCCCGGAAAATGATGGAAATGGGGGTCCCATGATTGGGGGGCTGTAAATTATATGGAGTAACATTGTCTTTGAATCACGACAATGAACTGACAGCGTGTTTGTAGAATATATGTTTGATGATCATTATCTATTGTTAACGATTGGAGAACATCAATATGGATTGATCACTAGCTATTCATGATAGTAATGTGCAATAACAATCATGACAGGATAGTAGCGAGCATTTCAATAGATAATGATGGTAATTGACAATGATCCTACTCATCATTATCCATGTAAATGTATGATTGACTTGTTAATCATCAATGAATGTCTGATAATTGTCCTTCAGGTTGACAAACATCGCTGATTAACCAGATTCCACCTCAAACCGATTATTAAAATAGTATCTCAATGACATGTTCAAAGACCACCCGCAGAACTGCTAGTCTAAGCTACATAACTTCGAGTATGTGGATGAATCCTACTAATTGTGGTATCACTAATGGGTAGTATGAGAAACACTATTTAAGTCGATTAAACTATTACGAGAAAGGATTTCTTCATATTCCTTCTCAACATACACATCTTGGTCTTGCATCACAAATAATTACCTCTTTCTCGAGTCATGGTCCCCCAACCTCAAAAGTTCCGATTTTAAAAGCAACCGAGATACTCATTTAGGATGACAACTTGGGGCATGCCCGCAAGGCCAGGCCCCCAGTTCACGATAGCAAGGCAAGTTGAGGCAAAAATCGGTGAATTCTATGGTTTTTAAGGGGAATATAATTAGAACTTTCATAGGGTTATAAACATCATTATATAAGCATCATTATAGTTATAATTATCCTAATAGTATATATAATTAATAAACCTTATATATCATTATATGAATATAGTTATATTATAGAATTATATCACTCGCCCTGAAACCTCGGACAGCCCCAAATGCCATCGGTTCCAATCCGCCTTGATCGGGGTCAGAGCCACGAGTTCGTATGCATCATTCCTGCATTGAGAGGCTGCTGTCCGTCATCTCAGCTGGCTTAGTTGTTGAACCCATTAGGTACAGCTATATACATCAATATGTATAATATATTTATATATATATATATATGTGTGTTATTAAATGTATATATATATATACAGTATATTCCTTATAATATATATATATGTTATAATATGATACAACATAATGTAATATAATGTAATATAATGTAATATAATGTAATATAATATAATATAATGTAATATAATGTAATATATTGTAATATAATGTAAAATAATGTAATATAATATCTTAATACATTATTTAATATATAAAATTATATGCAATATCAAATATTTTTCAACAGGACAATATTATATATAAAAACAAAACTAAATAATATAACATAACACACATACATATATATATATATATAGTAATTTATATATATAACAAACTATATGTATATAATACTAATGATGCACAGAATATAAACAGAAAATATGTATACAATAAACAGCTATGTATGTATAGATATATATATACATATATATATACATATATATATATACATATATATATATACATATATATATATATACATATATATATATATCAATGGGAATTTCAGGATCCTAAAATGGAGGTACTGTACCATATAAGGCCATATTTTGTGGTTATATTCACTTACATAGGCCTTATATAGGCCTTATATATGGTAGGTACCTCCATTTTAGGATCCTGAAATTCCCATTGAATATATGTTATATATATAATACATAATGTATATATATAATACATAATGTATATATATATATACATAATACTACAACACTATAATACTAATTACGTTTAAATATATATATATATAAGTATATATCGAACTAGTTCATTGCGGTTTTAAACCAACATACAGAGCTTGGGGGGCACCAACTACTTTAATTATCATATCTTTAGTCATTCATGAACGTCCCCTTGCGAAAAGTAGTACAGTCAGCTTGAGTTCGTAGTGACAGAGCATGATGCATAAAAACCTCAAAAATAATGCCAAGTCGCTCCGGCAAAGTTCTGACTCTGAAATCGGATGGAATTCAAACAAGACAAATGTGACGTTGTCATGTTCATCCCATTGGGATTCCCCAATGGTTACATTATATAACCCCTGTGAAAATGGAGGATGACCATCCCCAGTTTTTGGAAAATCAACCACGGAACTTGACCCGGGCACTGAAAAATCACCCAAAACTTTCCAGGAAACCACCAACCAATAGCCAGGTTGCAGGGAGACATTGGCCGAAGCTGGCTGAACCAGCCAGCTGTACCAGGGAAGGACTTTCCCAGACCAGCTGTTGGCATACCAAAAGTCACGAGCCAAGCCCAAAGACTCGAGGGTGAAGTTGCAATCGAAGCCTAGTAATCGGACATGGTTTGCTGGAAAATCCCATTGGAGTTTCAGTTGCAACGTTTGATGACACCTGAGGCTACATGTTTATTCAGTTGCCCTACAAGTACCTTCAAACATTGGCACTTTTACTAACCAATCATGGGGAAACCATGTGTGCCACCTTGTAGCATCTGGTGAGAAGTGAAGTTTCGACTCGGTGATCACCAGTGACTACTCTTGGTTTGTTGAGGGTTAACCAGGTGCCAGATGGAGGTTTCCTAACATAGGGGTAACCCTAAATCATCTATTCTAATAGGATTTTCCATTACAAACCATCCATTTTTGGAGGTCCCCTATTTTAGGACATCTCCATATATATCCATATATGATCATTCAACGTCTCAAAATGGCTCGTGGTCAAGCCAGTTTGTGAATTATGAGAAAATTCTGGCATATTTTGGCGAGTGTTCTGCTTGTTGAGAACCATGAAAAGTCTTACAGTACTATTATGTGTTACCACACTATTCCCAAGTGGTCTTTGGTGAGGGTCGACCTGAATTGGCCGGCAATCAGTTACTGGGGCTTATGAAGCAACATTTCTTTATAAGGCAGGGCACCACACGACGTTCCTGTTCCTAGTTCTTAGTTTGATACTAAACCAGGATTCAGCAGTATCCCAAGTGGTTAGTTCCGCCTCCCAAAACCTACTTCTGTTGATTGTTTTTAATGGTTTATTTTCAATGGTTCCACCCAAACGGGCGTTTCCTAAAGTAGGGTTACCCCTTTCCACCATCGGTTTCCCATCATGATGAGAACTTGGGGTCCCCCATTTTAGGAAACCACCAAAATCACTGTTGTTTTCCGTATCTCATTCTTCTTGCTGTTTTAATCACCGGTTTCATGGCGCATTATTTTTAGGTGGGACGTCTTCCTGCAGCTCATAAGTGGGTCATAGGTGGCCTCTTGTTCCATGTCTCCCAGTTGTGTTCTATTTCCTCTCAATTGTACATCAAGACTGGGATAAATTGACCCTTATCAACGGTAATGCCTCACCAGGTATGAACACTACAATAGTAGTGATCCTCAGCCATGTTTGTTGGTTTTTATCCCACATGAACTAGTTCGACATATCTGCACAATCTTATTACCGGTTTTCAATATTCATATTACTAACATCTACTAACTATATGTTTAATCACCATTAATCACCACTAATTACACTAATTGATCACTATGTTCCATCACCATGAATCACCACAAATATCGTCATTAATCACGATTATAATCACTATTAATCACCATTAATCATTATAGTGGTTGAATCACCTTATAAAGGTTGAATCACCATTCATCACTCGTCAACTTCAAGGATCGCCTTCTTTCACCAAGCGTTGCAGCGCGCTGTGCCAGGTCTTCAATTCTCTCTGGGAGGCATCGAGGTGCTCCTTCCTAGCACCGCTGCACCGGTCTCCAGTGCCATGGTTTTTGTTGGTGAATTTATGGAGAAATTATGGTGAATGTATCGGAAATACATGGTGAATACATGGTGAATATGGGAAACATATGGTGAAATGGAGATTTTATGGTGAATACATCGTGAATATATGGTGTATGTTTATGGGAAATATATGGGAATATCTGGGATTACATCGAAAATAATGGATATCATGGGATATCTTGATGGATATGTACCAAACATGTGGATATAATATGGGCTAGAGTCATCAAACTATAGCTTATTGTGAATTCTTACACAGTTTTCCATCATGACTAACCCGGCAAATGGTGGTATGACCATCCCCCAACATGGCTGCGTAATCCAACTTTTGACCATGGCTACGGAAATCAGTCATCAGTTGTTTCCTTGACTTAACCATCAAGATTTGGGATAGAAATATAGAAATCCATGAGTTTCTTTCCCAGGAAATGATCCAAATATGATGGGAATTTCCATTTCTATTTTAATTTTTTTTCGACAAATGATCATCATTGCAAATCCGACATGTTCATGGCAAGTCTCGTCGGCAAAGCCAGCATTAACATTAATCGTCCCATTGGGATCATCGACCGGACATCGACCGTGGTGGTTTCCACTGTGGAAACCACCAAAAATGGAGACTGTGATGGAAAATCCATGGATGAGAACTGGAGGCACCCCCATCTTGGGAAACCTCCATAGTATTCCTATATGGATTGACCAGCTCATCAAGTCGCGTTTCTGCTAAACCACGAATCATAGCGAGTTTGACCAGAAACGATCATGGCAATTTTCAATGTAGCTTTGAGCTTCCACAATCATTGGATTGGTTTACGGGAAAATTGATACCGGAAACCCCCATGATCTTAATAGTAACATCCATGGGTTCCGGTTAAGATCTTCCCGTGAAAACCAATCCAATGACACAAGAAAGGTAAACCATTAATCACTATTAATCACTTTTTTAATCACTTTTTTAATCACTATTAATCACTATTAATCACTATTAGTCACCACTAATCACTTTTAATCACTATAGTGGTTTAATCACCTTTATATCACCTTTGGTAAACCATGAGCCATTTGGGATGAAACTCCCCTCGCCCCTGCAGCAGGGAATATGTCAATCCTACTCATCCAAGGTTGGGGATGATATAGGTGGAATATGTTTATTGAAATATGAAGGTACCCTCTGGTTATGTCAAAATAGCTATTGAAAATGGCCATAGAAATAGTGGTGATTTTCCCATCACAAATGGTGGATCTTTAACCATAGTTATGTTAAATTACCAGAGGGTACTATTTTCTGGGAATATGAAGGAAATATGTCATGGGAACAAGATGGGATTGCCTCGAATCAAACGTTTCACAAGTTGGCTTCGCACGACCCTCATTGTGCGATGATCAGTTGTCTGCGATGATCATCCAGTCATGATACGCATATAGCTTTCATCCGATGGTCCGATGCTACAGATTGAACTGCGCTCTTGAGAATATCTCTGTAAGATGTGACCGGTCTCGCAAGCTGATGATATCTCATTGCCAATCTTAGATACACAAAATATGAAAAAATGCTAGTTGTTTAGTAGATATCAACAGTAGAATACCAGCACAGTAGATATTCCATGATTTTCCTATTGAAATCGCTTAGTAGATACCTACCTTTTTTAGTTGCACCATCGGCTTCATCCCTTCGGCTTCTTCCAGCCGTTTATTCTTTGGGCGGCAAGGATTCTTATGGATTTCTCATGGATTATCCATCATCGATGGGCCAAGTTTCAAGCTGGTTTTCGCCATCATGCTCTGGAACGCCTCCACAGACATGTTTTTTTTTGTATCACAAGTGCGTTCGATGAGTTGATGATGGAGAATTTCAATAACAAATCTATCGGCAAAGCATTGGAATTTTCCATCTGCGAGCATTTGAAGTTGCAATAAAAGTAATCATTGGTGTTGTTTCATGCATTCCACCCCTTGGTCAAGGCCAACTTCGGATACTCTTTGCAAAATGGGTTTGTCTAAAAATCGGGGATACCTGAAAATGTGATGGTACCAATCCTCCTTTTTCCTATTAAACTCTTGTGGGGGTATACTCCGTTCTTCAAACACACCCAAATGATCCCAATTGAAGACAAACACTGGTTGGTGGCTTGAATCCCTCTGAAAAATATTAGTCAGTTGGGATTATTATTGCCAATATATGGAAAACATGTTCCAAACCACCAACCAGAACATCTATTTTCCTCCATGTCCGACAAACATTCACCACAGAAGAATACAACCATTCACCAAGTTTCGCCCTGTATGGCTGACCCCTCTTCTGCTGGGAAAATTCCCACTGCTGGAAATCAACCATGGAATGAGCGACAAGAACAGGTGAATGTGGGTAAACTGATCTATTTATCAAACGATAAATCCAAAGTCAGCCAAATATCAAACCCAAAAAAGAACTAAGATTACCAAATTTGGCAATTGATCTGTGCTCTGGCCACTACTACATAAGTTGGTTTATAACCTTATTTCACTATAGAAATATCCACCATAAATCGTGGTTAAACAAATTTGCTATGGGGCACAACCAAGTAAGGATATCGTTATATCCATTTAAATTTTCATCAATAACCAAATTTCCCGACGAATTTTCACAGTTACATTTGAACCGTTAAAGTTACCCCTAGCCCTTTATGTTGTACAGGGATGATAGGTTTCCTATTCATATGGGTTAGTTCAGAAAAAAACAGTGACCCAGGCAGTATACTGTAATTCCCATCTCACAAACAATCAACAAATTATATGATTCCCTACAGATCATGATGATCCTATTAAATCATATAAAAACCCATGAATTCAAACAGGGTATCTTTAATAACCAATCAACAAGATTATTTCCTATAAAACCCGGTGAAATCACCATTTTCCTATGCCCCTAGTGGCACCTCTGACCACCGCCCTGCTCCGGTTGTGCTCGAAGTGCAAAGAGTCGCCAGAGAACACCACGGATCCGAACGGTGGGTGGCACGCAGAAGCCGTAGGCCTTGGGCCGTGGCAACGCCCGAAGAGTTTCATGATGATTTTGAGCTTACTATTGGGTTTACCATTACCACATTACCCTCTGGTAAACTAACATAACTATGGAAAATCTCCATTTTTAATGGGAAATTCCACTATAACTGGCCATTTTCAATAGCTATGTTAAATTACCAGAGGGTAAATCATCATGCCATTACTGGAAAACACAATATCATTTGATGAACAAACAAATTTGGCATGTCAATTACTCATATGTTGCATGTTTATGTAATAGTTACCAACATTACTTCAAGATTCATCCTTAAATGTGGGTAAATACACCATACATGGAGCATCCCGGGTATAGATAGATATTAATCATATAATTGTTCATTTATGTGTTGATATATCTATATTCATATTGAAACAATATATGAAATTTATGTTCACATATCACATATCTATATATATATGTATATAATGTCAAAAAATATGTATATATTACATTTCTAGATAAACATTGTGTGAACAACATGCTGGTGACATTAAATAGTATTATTACTTTTGTTTATGTAAATGGATATCCAATTTAAACAAAATATATTTCACCATTCAACCTTTATTTGCAGTACCATCATACTGGTGAGAAATCACATAATGTATTGTATATAATGAAATTCTGATTTTTTCTTATCTTTATTTTTCTGATTTTTATTATCCTTACCACAAAATATACAATATGTATAATCAGCATGCCACTACTGGAACATATAATAAGTATTCAGTGCCTCCTAAGTTTTGTGAGCTTGGGAATGGGTATTCAATATAGCAGCCAACTGTTTGCTCCAAGCTCTCGAAGTCTTCGTTGTTGCTCCTACAGGTTTTGTAGCGGCCAAGGTTTGTTCGCAATATGCCGTCCAACATGCCGTTGACAGGGACCAGGGAGCTTTAGTAAGAGACAACGCGCGTGCAGGCCTTTGGTTACAAAATTGCTGCGATATGAGGCGCGTCGAACATGCACCTGTTGAATTTCAATACATGCACTCACACAGCTGACAAACCAAAAACAATGTCGCGCGGCGCGGCCTTGCCATTTGCATGGTCTGGCGGGGGAAAAATGTATTGGCAACATGCCGAGAATGCATGCAAGAGGTTCTGCACTGGTCTGGGCTGGGTTTGCAGGGTGCCTAAAATCCAATGGTTTTACTGTATGTACCATCGTGTTAAGTTTTTATTATCATATTGCATTTTTTGGCCACAATTTCAATCACATCCAAATATAGTTTATACTATATTCCATTAGTGTCGCAATAATACAGAAAGGATCATAATGTCATTTACAGTCCATTAATATATCCATCATCATATACCTTATACCCATCACGGTTGATGTCATCCATTTTTGTTGGTTATATAATTAGAGCCCATTTTATCCCATTAATATCATCATGCCCTAATATCCCCTGAATATCTTCATGATATCCCTGGGATGTTTGCATACCTGTTCTTTATGCTCTCAGCCGCGTCGCACACGAAAAAAGCCATGGAAGCTTCCGACTTCCAACGCTGCAGTTGTTCGCGTGCCTTGCAGAGAACCTGAAACGGTGGTCATTATCCAAGAACCACTGTTGGCTGAAATAATCATATATAATATATATAAATATATTTATAATCACACATATATAATCTATAATACATATTCGTTATTTGTGGTTGTATAGTTTTTAATATGAGATACATTATTAATATGTTGTGTGTGTCTTTACATCTCTGTATACAGATCTATGAGTTTCATAAACCATCTGTCATTCCATGAAAAACCGGTGGTTAAAAATGGGATTTTGGGATTCTCCTACTGGATTATGAAAAACATCCCCAATCTATTGGGTAGTAATTTATAATCCCCTACAAAAATGGTGACTTAATGAGATATAATTTAATGGATTAATGGGATTCGATTGGGATATAATATGATATAATCCCCTATAATCATGAACCAACAGGGGGGTTCAACACTGCTGAGCTTATCGAAAAGCTCACCTCGTCGTTCAGCGCTTTCTCCGCATCCAAAAGGCACTCCTCTGGAAGCCGCAGAATCACCTGGCAGCACATGGAACCGCAAGCACAGCGCTTGATGTTTTTTTTTTTAAGGTGAAGATATAAGGTAATGCTCCTCAGTTTTGTTTCTTGGTTACTATAACCCCGACTAACTGTGACTAACTCAACTAACTGGGATATATCATGATATTTTTATGGACAGGTATAAAATTTGAGATATACCCCAACCCCCATTCAGTGCGATATTTATAGTGCGATATCCCTTTTTTTACCCAATAGTATACATCTGGGTAAATTATAATATTTCACTAACCTGAATTGAGGCCATTTGGGGATGATTTCCCGAATCCTAACCATGATTCCAGTGAGGTCGCAGTGAGGTCGTTATAATTTACCCAGATACATAGTGCATTTCTAGCGCAACGTTGCGATGAAAAAAATCCACGTCCAACTTCAACATCTTCGCCTCATTTTTCTCCACGTCTTTCGTCAGGAAGACAGCCTGAGGGCTTTCCAGTCCTGGGCCGCGCATAGCCAGCGACCAGCGGCAAAAAAAAAAGTGATGGAACCACGAAAAAAATCAGGAAGACCTTTGCAACTGGTTGGTGCTTACCCAACAAAACTGGTGATTCAATAAGGATATTTCATGCGCGTAGTCCAACCAGACCTTCTGGTAATCGAACATAGCTATGGCAGCTATGGCCTGTTTCTAGATCATTTACTTGTTGATTTCCAGGAAGATCTTGGAAAATCATCCCAGACAGAAAGTGGTTCGCCTGGTTTTCAGAATTCCCCTAGGGTTATCCCATCGATAGATGGGTGTAGAATCACCATTTCTTCAATAAATCAACGAAATTAGCCATGGCCATGGCTAGCCCAACACCACCCAGCCGTATCTCTGACCCCTTCCTTCGTGCAACGCTCGCACTTCCAAGTTCTCAAGGCCTTCAGCGCCTAGTCAGGACATCCGGTGATGCTATTTCTAGTGATAAACCATGGTTCAAAACCGAGTCAGCAGATTGCTATATCCCATAGGATCCATGTATGGTATATATGCTAACATTTGGGGTATACTGATGGCAAATGTTACCATATATAGCATACATGGATCCTATGGGTATTGGTTGATGGGTACCGAATATCACTACACAATTACGATTGTATATAATTTCTATATTAAACTTCATCATGACATTTGTTGGTGTATAAACCCAATTAACACCAAATAGCTACTTTATTAACACCATCTACAGTAAACCATAGTTGTTGAAGTTATCAACGCGCTTCCCCATCTAAGATGGACGCCACCTTGTATGAACATGTATGAACTCAGCTTGGAACTGTACCAGACAATACAAATGCACATTTATATACAGTATATATCTATACTGTGTATATATATAATACAATATAATATAATGTAATATAATGTAATATAATGTAAAAATATAACATAATATAATATAACATAATATGACATAATATAATATAATATACAATACAATATACAATACAATATAGTAGTACATATATATATATATATCAGATTCGATATTATATATATATATATATACACATTATACATATATATATATGATATCATAGTATACATATATTGTGAAATGAACTATGAAAGGCATATTACACTATCAAATAAAACATCAATCATCAGAACTGTATTGACTGTATTGAAATGTGTTTAAACCTATGACGAGTATGTCATAATTTTCTGACCAACAAAAATACGCTCTATCCATTTCGGTGAACTGGGGCTTTTTCTTGAAACAGCAGTGCCATTTTGTTGAGAAGCGTTGTGCCTTGTTCTGCCAGCCACTCTCTCAAAGATGGCAACCTTTCCTCCGGTCGCAAGCGGTCGCTTGGAGGATCATCACACGGATCGTAACTGGTGAGTGTAACCATAGTTATACCATCTGGTTATTTAACATAGCCATGGAAAATCCCTCATAAATGGAGGTTTTAATGGGAAAATCATCTATAAATGGGCCATTTTCCATGGCTATGTTAAATAACCAGAGGATAACCCATTTTGATGGGAGAATAACTGAATTTAAGCCACTGAATGGGGACCTACTAGGCTTACGAAAATCGGGTACTAACATTTACTAACTTACGAAGTGGGATGCTCCAAATGCTGTCATGCGATGATTTTTCTATGATGCTATTCTATTGCAGACTGGAGGTGCGCCAGGGAAGAAACTGGGGGATTTCGAAATTCTGGTCACTTTCATCGGATGCCATCGGGATTCCCACGATTATCATTTACCCTCTGGTAATTTGACATAGCTATTGAAAATGGCCCATTTATAGTCAATTTACCTGGTGATTTTCCACAGTTACGTTAGTTTACCAGAGGGTATGTGATATAATGAAACTTGGCAGTTTCATAAATTTAACATAGACCCTCCGCTGGTCAAACGTAGAAGTTGAAAACCTCCCGTAGAAGTAGATGTCTGCTTTTCATTGAGCGGGATTTTACAGCCACATTTGATGCGTCCTTCACCTTCTTTTTGACCTTGCCCTGGGCCACCGGGTCACGCGGTCACACGCAACCACCATACTGCGGGGTTGCTGGTAAAAATATGTGGATAAATATGGATAATATATAGCGGATGAAAGCTGGCCCAAACTAGAATGTAATGAATCATCATGAACCATGAGGTTATTATCCAAAAAACAAAGTTCTTCGATGTTCTTGGTGAAGCCCATCCCCCAATCATATTGAACATCTCAATTCTATGGTCCCAAATGTGTGTCCTTATTCCCTACTAAACCATGGTTTGTGGGGGGTTGTCTAAAATTAGGGGCATCTGATTATACACAGATCATTTGATGAGGAAAGGGTGAACCCCGTGACGTCTAGAGCGAGAAGCAAACTAAAAGCGGTTACCGTCAGTGCAAATCAATTTCATACACACCTAAAAATATGATATGGGTGTTTCCTTAATGGGGGTACCCAAATATGGGTGGTTTATAATGGAAAATCCGATTAAAAAGAGTATGGACATGCTTGGATTTGCTTCTTAAGTAACTTTCAAGATTCCCTACAGATTCCCCAAGTATTGGATTTCCTATTGGGAAAAAAACAAATCATCTTCAGCAAATCCAAGCATGTGTGTGTCTGGTTCGAAATTTTGCAATGCGAACCCAAGAATTCTTCGGTGGCAGGCAGTCTCGAAAATGGATTCCATCTGCAACAAGAAATGGTAATCTCCCAACCCAGCCGCAACTGAATTCCCAAGCCTTCTTAGCTCCAACTGCCTTCAGTTTCTTCTTCACTTTTGCCATGGATTGCAATGCGGTGCTGGGAATTTCGAGAACCTATAGTGACTTAATCGTGACTATAATGAAAGAAATCACCACGGCAAACCTCTAATGATCAACGGGGCCCCAAAAAAGCAAGCCGGGTGGCTGTTGTCTTGGGGATGGGCTATCCACAGTTGCGGGGAAAAAAACTATCCCGGTCCTTTTTGCAAACTGCGATGTTTGACGAATTCAAACTCTAAATGGCCACTTGGGATGTGCACCCCAGTCAGTAAGTGCCCAATGACCCTTGTATATCCCATACATAACCCGTTTTTTCAACTGGATTATGGCTCTCACCTACTAACTGGGATGCACCCCCAAGCAATCAGTTGTGGTACATCCCAACATCTCCCTGGCACACAGTGCAAATTGACTCAATTGCAGCGCTTGGTTTGAACCACCAGCCGTCGGGTAACCTGTGCAAGCACCGACCTTCCTAGTTTGTGGTTTATCCCACTTACTTCTGTAAGTGGTTAGTGAGTGGGGCAACAACCCACTTATAAATGGAATAAGCCCACTGATGCCAAAGCTGGTGCGGAGTCATTTCGAACGGCTTCCTAAAGATTATTTTTGGGGGATACTCCGAAAACATTAACACGAAAGTTTCTAACCCCCATCTACCCCAAACGTTTAAGTATTGGATCGAATATGCGAATCATTTTGTGTCCCGGGGATCCGACTGTCAATTGAGGTGGCTGCGGGCACGCCAGTGATTGGCACTGACTCCAAACCCGCTCCCCAAACGCCGCAGCCATACGCACCCGTTCGCAGTTGGTCTTGGCCGTGCTCACCTCCATATGCGAACCATGGTGCTGGAATAACCAACATTTGCCACAAAATCACCCAGTTATGGTGCGATCTACATTCATGGTGGGCTTTCCAGATCTATGGCCGTGTTTACAGGAGGGTACCCTCCAAAAAGATGACTAAAAAAATGGTTTAAATGATATGTTCCACAGATTTTCCCGGATTTCGACTTCGACTATTTTCTTCGACTAAATCTTTTCGGGGCTTGCTATAAATGGAGGTGTGTTGTCATACGCCGAAATGGAAAACTGGCGCAATGACCAAGGGGTGGTTAGACTCGGAAGTTGTGGATATTATTGGGAAATGAATCTTAATGAAGGTATAATCGACCCAATATAATGGATATAATGGGGAGGAATGTGCATTCTTAAGGACCAATAAAATATCATATACAGTAATGTGATTTACCATGATAAAGGTACATTTACCCATTTCCTGATTGGCAAGGTCTTGTCAAATATGTGAAACATGCCATTTACAATATTTGGGATTAGCAGAAGGATACATTTTCTCATGGTAAAAGGTCAGTTGATCCATTTCATCACCGGTGGTGTATTGTCAGGTATGTTACAGATCCTATTTACCCCATTTGATCCTATTTGCGGTCAGCGAATAGAAACAAATATCATGCTAAAAGGTCAATTGATCCATTTCCTTATTGGTGGGGTATACGCTATTTGGGGTCAGTGAAAGGATCTATATGTGTATATATATATATATAATATATATAATAATATATACATATTCTGATGGTAAAACTTTAGTTGACACATTTCCTTACTGGTGGATTGTGCGAAAGATTGATTCTATTGGGGTCCAAAACAAATGGTGAACGGATAGCGGGATGATCCAGAATTAAAATATTGACATATGTTTTTTCATATTGGATACCACCACATTTGATAACATGTTCCTTTCCCACTATCAAAAGGCCAAGTGGGTGCTGATATCACTGATTTGGGATTATGCTAAAGGCGTTGAAAGGCACTGTTACGCAAAATTGTTTTGAAACACGCTCAACATATGGAGAATATCCTCCCAATTTTTTGTCAACAAACCAATGGTAAACACACATCTTTGTGTATGCTGAAGGCCTCCAGGTGTATTCTTTGGCCGCACCGGGCCAACTTTTAAGCACCCGCACCGTACAAACAAGGTGGTGCCCCCCCCAGTTACAGGTTGGTTTATCACCATAGTAAGTATGTCAATATATCTACGATATATCTACCCCATAAACCACAGTTATTGGAGATATTTGCACCAACTTAGCTAACTATGGGGCAACACCTTGAAGCTTGTTGCATCGACATTGGCACTACCCCCGCAGCCTCAGCCTTCGAAACCTGCAAGTGGTTCCTCGCCAGGCGATGCAAGTGGTTGAGGCTCAAGTCATGTGGAACACTGATGAATTTCATTTTATGTACATCAACTATATATATATATATATTGATATATATATATATGTGGGATATCTATCTATCTATCTATCTATCTATCAATCTAATCTAATCTAATCTAATCTAATCTAATCTAATCTAATCTAATCTAATCTATCTAGCTAGCTAGCTAGCTATCTATCTATCTATCTATATCTATATATTTATATATATATATATGGAGTTCTTGAAACTGAGGAGTCCCCAAAACAATGAGTTTCAATGCTAAAATGATCTAAAATGGTAAAATGTGGATGATTTGGGGGTTTCCCCATTTTCGGAAATATCCATATACACCGACCTATTCAACTTTGAATATGTCTTGAATAATGGATCCAACTCTTTTCAAACTCTGATGTTGGGTGCGGTCGTTTGACATGCCATGATGGCGTTTGTCCTAAAAAAACAATGCCCCAAGCCCCGTATGGATTTTTAGTTTCTCCATTCCATAGAAATTGTCGTTGTATATATGAAATTATCCATAGAAATTCCATAGAAATTCTGTCAAAATGGTCGTTGTCGTTGTATACCCTGTCTTTGGGCTCACAGGTTCCATCGGTGGTTTTACATCCGATCTTTCATCCATGTCAAGCACTGGTTCCCAGAGGATCCGATATTGAAAAAAATCAATATTTAGTGCAAAATCAATATTTTTGAAAAAAAAACTTGTTTTTGGTTTAAGAAAAGGAAGTTAAAAATATTGAAAAAATAAATCAATATTTGGGGTCCTACTTTTTCAATATTTTCAAATCAAAAATTGCACTGTCTGTGATTGCATGGGCCCTTCTGCAGGTCCCCAGCAAGAACAAACAGAACTTAAGAACCGCAAGAAGGCCCTGCTGCAGGTCCTCCACAGCAAATGAAGCTTTTGCAGTGTTCAGGCTACTCCTTTTTTCAAGCCTGCTGTTGAAATTGCAAATGTTTCCCAATTTGGTACTTCTTACAAATTGTATTTGGAACCTGGTAAGGCTGTAGCCCAGCCAAGCAAGCTGCAGCCAACTTAGTGGCATTGCCCACCAAATGCTCTCCTGGGTATGCCCATACTGCTCTGGAATTCAAAAACTGAGCATCTTCTGAAATATGGCACAAGAAATGCATTTTTGGGATTTGGCCCCATTGAAAATGCCCAACCCTTGCATTGTCTAGGCTGTAGCTGTGGTAGCTCAGCTTGTTGTAGTATTGCAAAAACTTGTGGACATTGGAATCATATTGTCGAAATTCTTCATGGGTGAAGAAAAGATCAGCCTCTTCACTGATTTTGCACAAATTACACAGGTGCTTCAAGCATTTGTGCCTCCACATGCAATAATCTGAGCCATCATTGAATTTTTCACAGAGTTTAAGACACACTGGCACCAAATATGCTGTTTGCTTCGCCTTGATTGCACTATGCATCAAATCAGGGTAATGCTGGTGGGGTGCATCAGCATCACAAAAGTGAGACAGTGCCAGTTTTGAAATTCTGCCCTCTGTGATTCCCAAGTCATCATAGGCTTGGTGCACAAGGTCTAGAAGCTGTGCTATTTTTTCTGACCTCTTTCTCCCAGGCAGGTGTTTGTAAACCACATCATAGAAGACATTTGCCACTGATGCTGAAGAAAACCCCAAGTCTGCACAGTGCATGAAATCATATGCAAAAGTCCAATGGTTCACTCCAGGTATGGAAAGAACCCAATGGGATGTCATGGGTTCATCATGCACTTCCTGCTTTGTATAAGGCTTGGACCTCCAATCAGCATTGTGGTTGAAGTCATTCCAGGGTGTATCACTTCGGTTGCACTTGCACCTCATGCAAGGGCTGTTGGAGTTGTAGTTTGGAAGCCCATACTCTACACTGTTGTGCTCACAATCTGCTGGCAAAGCCCAAATTATACATCTCATACCATTCTGGCAAATTCTTTGGCCTGCTTTGGCCAGCCTGTCCTGTAGCAAAGGATGTCCAAAATCATCAGTGAAAGGGTGCAGGCCAGCAAACCAAGCTTTGAAGCTTCATGCTAAGACTTTGCCAATTGTATCCATGGTGGGTTCCACATTGGCCAAGGATAGATCCTTGCATTTCTTTGTAGTCACTAAGCAACTGTTGGGAATAGCACACAGCATGAAGCTGCTTTCGTCCACCCCAAGCCTCCTTGCTTGGGCAATCAGGCTGTACATGCTGATAGTGTGTAAAGAATCCTGCTTGGCATGGGGCCCTTTGTCTGCATGCAAGACAAATGGCATGTAGTTCTCTCTGTTCTCTTTCAAAACAGGGTTTTTGTAGAGTTTGGGGTCCTCATTTGAAACTTGCTTCCAGAATTCCTTGATGTCCGCCATTTCGCCCACTGTGCAATCCAGCAACCCATGCTGAGACAAAGCATGGCCCCATTCATGTGGCAAGAAAATTGCTATATCTTCTTTCACCAATACTGGTCTTGTGCCTGGGTTCTGAATCACCCAAGCTGACACATAGTAAGGGTCAGGAGCCTTCAAATTCTGAAGTGCCTCTAACCTGAGCAAGTCTCTTTGTGTGTTGGATGGCTGGTGCCCATAAGATCCACAGCTTGCTAAGGCATTCAAATCCTGTGGGACTGCACCGAATGTGTTTTTCACAGACCTGGCAAGGTCACAAATTTCCAAGGCACTGCTACTTCCACAGGACCAATGCTCCAACAGCTTGTAAACACATGGGCTCACACCACCAATTGTGGCAATGGCTTCTACCTTTTTTTCTTTCTGTGCTTTTGCATCAGCTGCTGCTTT